TGAATGATGGATCCATATGAAACAGAGGAACGGCGTCAAGCGTGTTCTGAGCATTTGCAGCTCTTTGGTAAAGGGCTGTGGGCAGTATTTGAATTTCCAGCAGGATATCCTATCTCCTATTGCCCAAGGAGGCTGTGGGTGCCCCATCCCTGCAGGCATTCATGGCCAGGCTGGATGTGACTCTGGGCAGCCTGGGCTGCTGATTGGTGACCCTGCACATAGCAGGGGGTTGGAACTGGGTGAGCACTGAGCTCCTTTGCAACCCAGGCCATTCTGTGATTCTATGATTTTATCTCAGTGGCCACTAGTGAGGTTTCCACTGGCTAAATACTCACTATAGACACAACGCAGTGCTCCCTGAGTGCTGTTGCTGTCACCAAGACCGGCACTGTGCTGCAGGATGCTGCATGGTCCAGCTCAGCTCACTGCAGACCCCTGGGTAGGTGTGCTCCCACAGGTCTGGGTGCTGGTTTCACAAATGGCTCCTTCTAATTTGTGTGAGTGTGCACTGCTTCTGGTGTTATCCTCACCACTGAGTGGCCAGACCTTCTTCTCATGGAGGAGAATGCAGCAGGGCTGTGCTGCTCCTAGGGCAGCAGTGGCTGCTGTGTGCATGTACTGAACTGTGCACCTCCTGCTGCAGCGTGTGGCCGCAGCACACAGCTGCCTTCTTGATGCCCACTGCAGAAGGTGCAGCATCAGGGGGTGCTTCCAAAGGGCAAAGCAGCAGGAGGGGAGGGCAGGCACTTCTGCAGCCCACAGTCACTGATGGGGCAGCTGGTGCTGAGCCGGGTTCCTGCATCCTCATGGAAACTGCATGTGAAGGTGCAGAGACCAACCTGTAGCACAGCTTGAGCTGCGGTGCCGCTCCAGTGTCTTGCAGCATTAATCAAACTGTCATCATTTTTTTTTTTTTTTTTTTTTGTTAATTAACTTGAGGAAGAGGTTCATAATTGTCTGCACTGCTCTGGCACTGTGTTACCAGCCACAGATCTGTGTCCTCAGTGCTTTCAGGACAGCTGCTGTTAAGTTCCAACGCTTTGTGCTTTGCAGGTGGGTGCATTCTGTACCTCTGTGTTTCAACATGGGGGGTTTTTACACGTTCAAAGAAGACCATTAGTGCCTACAGTGGGGATATTTAATGAACTGCATGTCTGATGTGCAAAGACCATAAAAACTTTGTGAAGGAGGAAGATGTTCTCTCAAATGCACAGCATTTGGAAGTTGAACACAGAGAAGGGCCACGTGGATAGGTTTGCAAATATGAGGCAGGTCTCATTTGGACTCATGTTTTTCTGTTTTTTATAATTAACACAGTACAGGTGATCTTGTTTGTTTCCAGAGGAAGATCATAGAATCATAGAATCCTAAAATGGCCTGGGTTGAAGAGGACAACAATGATCATACAGTTTCAGCCCCCTGCTGCGTGCAGGTCACCAACCAGCAGACCAGGCTGCCCAGAGCCACATCCAGCCTGGCCTTGAATGCCTCCAGGCATGGGGCATCCACAGCCTCCTTGGGCAACCTGTTCCAGGCTGGGAAACTGTTCCATTTTTCTAGAATCAGTGAGCAGCATGGGGCAGAAAGGACGGCAGCACTTGTCCTCACTGCAAGCACAGCAGCAGGCAGAGTCTGCAGCCCAGCACCAGCTGCCAGAGCACAGCAGCAGCTCTCCCTCTCTCATTCTTCCAGCTTCCCTCCCCTCCGAGATAAGTTACGTTTAAAACGCATCTGCTGGAATAGTGGCAGCCTCCTGCAACCCCAAATAAGGGCTGCGTGTCGATGCAGCTGTGTGTATGTGCAGAGCGTGGGTGCACTGAGCAGACCCCGATTGCTGCATGCCTGCAGCTGGGAGCAGCCTCCCACTGCCTGTGGGCTCGCTGTGCTCACTGCTGTGCTCTGACAAAGGGAGGCATGCTGTGTAACACTGAGAAAAGACAGTCGGCACCGGGGGGGGCTCTGCTCATTTCTCCTTCAGAAATTGACCTGCTATCCAATGAGCAGCGATGGACAAAGTAGGGAAATGCATCCTAAAAGTGAAAACCTTGAACAACGTGCAGCTGGAGTAGTAAGATCCATGCTGTAGGCAACGGTCACAGTTCTTCATTCACACCAACTTAATTGCTTAAGGAACATCTGGAGGGAGGACTTGGCCAGCAGCAGGGCTGTGAGCAGTGACAAGCCACATTTCTGAGCACACCTATTAGATCTTCCATCAAACCCAGGGTGGCCGCAGCTTAAATGCTGGAAAGGCTGAGAATGAGAGCAGCTTTTCCAGTTCCCTTCAAAACTTCGGAGCACAACAGAAATGCGGTGCGAATCACTTGTGGTTTTTAATTTACAGGGACACTCGAGGTGCACTTTCACCTGTTGTTATTTTGCAGCAAAGACAAAGCTCAGGAATAGCAAGAAATGACCATGAAAGGGACAGCCAGAGCTGTAAGGGGATCAGTGCATACTGGGAGTTGACACGTGGAGCACAGTGCTTACTCCTGGAGCACCCAGCTGCGGCTGGACTGTAGGGCAGCACTGAGCTGATCGTGCACCAGATTACACATCTCCATCTTATCCTCTGAATTTAGTTTTATGAACTTAAAAAAAAAAAAAAAAAAAAAGTTAAAAAATAAAATAAATTTTAAAATGGTTTCCTTCCTCTTTGCTTTCTTTCTCCTTGTGAGCGGCTTTGGGTCTGAGTCCCAACTGCCTGCCGTCACCCTGCAGCATCACCGCAGCACACTGATTGCTGCTCCATGGAGCAGGACCAGCCCGCTGGTGCTGCAAGGACAGGACAGGTGTCTGTGTCACCTGCAAGAGCTCATCTTTGAGCTCTTCTTGTACCAGAGCATCCCCACCTCAATCCTCTGCCAAAAGTTCATCTGCAGAAAGCATTTCTTGCATTTCTTGCATGTACGTCGGCCGAGCCATGAGGGATATGTAAGTAAATTGCATGGAATCTGCATTTATATATATATATATGTGAGTTCAGACTCTCTAACACATAAAATACAAACAGGAGAGCCTTGGCCAACTTCTGCAGGCCACGGACCCACAGGGCATCCCACAGAACCGGGAATGTCCGTGCTCCCATCCAAATGTATCCCATTCAGAGTACTTTATTTCAATCACAGCTGCACTGAGAAGCACAGCGTGCCATCACACCGCCCGGACATCTCTCTCTGTTCCAACGAAGGATGTTTTTCATGGCTTATTACACTCATACTGCAGGCAGACGTGCCAATATCGGAGCATGCTGGAAGGGTTTGAAACCCAGAAATGCCTGAGGTGGGTTCAGGTGACGGCGGTGGGTTTGTGGGGAGCACCTTCAGCTGCGATAGGAGCTCCTCACAACGTATTAATTAACTTCTTTATTCGCGAATCAATCGACACCACCGTTACTTTTATTGACTCGATCATTAGCAGCACCTCCGTTTGGTTTGAAGCGAGCCCGTTTAGCCGGCATCGAATCCATCACTCGCAGCCCGTTATCGGCACACAACGCCCGAGCAGTCCGCGCTGCTGAGCCCTCGCAGCCCTTCCCCTCGGCCGCCCTTCTGCTCTAACCCGTCCCGCCGGCGCAGCGCGGCCGCACGGAGCGGGGAGAGGGGAGAAGGGAGCCGCGTGGGGCGGCTGCTCCTCGCGTCGCTCCGTGTCGATCGCCTTCCCGTCCTGCCGGGCTCCGTAGCCGCTCCTCGGGGCCGCCCTACACCGCGTTCCCCTCCGCCCTTCCCGGCCCTTGGGAGCCGTGCGGGAGCGGAGCGCACGGAGCTGCGGATCGTCCCCGTTCCCCGCGTGGAACGCATGGCGAAGTCGTTGCGATTTTCTCCATTTTATTACCTGGGGGAACACGGCAGAACTCGGAAAGGCGCACTGCGGTAGCGCTTCCACCGGGCTGCTCTCCTCGGGAATGGGATCTACGGAGGTCCGCACGGACCGCGTTCGTTACGTGGCGCTGAGCAGAACCGGCGGCGTTGGAAACGGATTAACAGAGGTGAAACCAACCTGAGTGAAACGAAATATATTGTACCGACAACAAATGCGATGAGATAACAGCTTTTTTTTTTTTTTTTTTTTTCTTTCTTTCTTTCTTTTTTTTTTTTTTTTTTAAATAACTTAAAATCCACTAGAAAAAATATGGTCAATATAAATAACTTTGTTTTCATGGAGAACAAATCGCTACATGCCCGTCCGTGCGCAGAGCTTTCCCGGCCGTGCCACAGCTCTACCAGAACAGAAATCAGCGCACGATGGGACCACATACACCTTTATGGAGAAATGCACGTGGCTGACACCAGCGCTCCGCTCGCAGCTCACAGCCCGAATCAACTCCGTTCGCGTGTATCAACGTATCTTACACCTACGGGTACCTCTGGCCGTGCGGAGGAGGCGGATGGGGTGCGATGCTCTTTTTTTTTTTCTTCTTTTTTTTTCTTTTCTTTTTTTTTTCCCTCCCCCTCCCCCCCATTCCCCCATGTTTTACCCCCGAGACAGCAGAGCCGCAGCTCCCAGCGCCCCCCGCGCTGCCCCCGGGGCACAGAGCCGGTGCCCCCCGCGCCGCCGGTTGTGCTGTGCTCTATCGATGGGGTGAGGTGCGTGGATCAAGGAGTCAGCAATGAAATACAAACGCATGCACCCGGAATGCTGCTGCAGGACGGATCCCGGGCAGTTTCCCTTTAGAAATTCGCAGAGAAATCTCTGTCTCTGTCTCTGTTTCTGTCTCTGTCTCTTTTATTATTTTTATTATTATTATTATTTTCTCTTTCGTCTTCGCCGTTGTCTTTCTTTCTTTCTTTCTTTTTCTTGCCGCTGTTCCCGACGTGCTCGCTCAGCCCGAGGATCTGATGCATCGTGAAAGGAGGCCCGCCTCTCTTATCAAATTTCTCGTATTAAAGTGAACTCCGCAGAAAAAAAAAAAAAAGAAAAAAAAAAAGGAAAAAAAAAAAAAAAGGAAAAAAAAAAAAAAAGAAGGGGAAAAAAAAAAAAAAAAAAAAAGGTCAATTTCAAACCCTGTGAACTTCCCAGCTGCGCTTCTGCTCCGTCCGGCTCTCACATCAGTCCGTCTCGCCGGCAGCGCCCGCTTCTCCCCCCGCGGCTCTCCGTCCCTCCGCCCGGAGCCGCGCAGCGCTGCAGCGGTCACAGCCCCAGGGCGGCCGCGTGCTTCTTGGCCTTCAGCCGCAGGTCGGCGATGCTCGAGTTCTTGCTGGTCGTCTTAGCGGCGGCGGCGGCGGCCACCACGGAGGCGGCGGAAGCGGACTCGGCCAAAGTGGCGAGCGGGAGCCCGAAGGGCGGAGCGGGGAACATCATGTAGGGCGCGTGGGCCAGGTGCGGGTGGAGGTGGTGGTGAGCGTGGGCCACGGCGCTGTCCAGCTGCAGCTGCGCCTGAACCTGAGAGCCACGCGGCCGCGAGTGGCACCGCCGACCCGGCCCCGCAAAGCCCGCAGCCCACCCACCGTGCCCTACGCACCCCCCCCCTCCGCGGCCCGGACCCGCCGTGCCCTGCACTTCCGTACCCTGCACGCCTCTCGCTGCTCCCCTCGCGTCCTACGCACCGCACGGAGTCCCCGTCCCGCTCCCGCACAGCCCGTATCCCGCGACCCCGCATCCCAAGTGCCGCTCCTGCACCAGCGTGTCCCGCGTCCCTTCTATCCCACACCCCGTGTTCTGCATCCCTCGCGTCCTCTCACCCCCTATATCCCACACCCCATATCCTGCACTCCCCGCGGCCCGCACCACCAACATCCTACACCCCATCTCCTGCAAGCCCTGGTCCCACGGCCCATATCTCCCTCACCCCACACCCCGTAGTATCCCAAATACGTACCTCCCGCGTCATATACCCCACGACACCCGTTTCCCACATCCTCCACATCCCACATCCCTCATCCCGCACCCCCCGCGCCCTACACATCCCATATCCAATAATCCACACCCCACGGCCCCCATACCCCGCACCCCACGGGCACACTTGCCTGCTGGAAGGGCATCCGCAGCGCTCCCACGTTGACGTAAGGGGCCACCCGGCAGGCTTCGAACTGGCTGGCGGCCCCTATGAGCACTCCTGCAGGCAGCGGTGGGTCAGCCCAGCCCCGCCGGATCCCCACGCGTGTCACACCCGCTCCCCCCCCCTCACCCCGGACACGCACGGCCGTACCTTTGTGCAGCTGGTTTTCTTGCTTTCGGCATTTGGCTCTTCTGTTTTGGAACCAAACCTGGGGGCACAGAGGGAGGACGGGGTCACGAAGAGGGATAAGGCCAATAAAAATAAAATAAAACCCACCGAGAATAAAAAGTGGAGGACAAAGAGAGGGGCAATGATGAGTGAGGGACGAGGCAATGAGGGTGCGAGAAATTCGGGAAATGACCCAAAATTGGCACTCGCTTTAGCCGAACCACTTTTCCCAGCCCCGAGTTCCCCTTCCCAGCCGGGGTCCCACCGCACCGATGTCTCTGATGTCTCTCCCCACAACCTCCCAACAGCTCTAAGCTCAGCTCGTTGTAATGGGTTTGGTTGTTTGCGCTGTCGGAGCCGAGGAGAACGCGCTCGTTAATAGCCCGTGTTATTAATTAGCTTTATCGTCAAGGAAAAAAAAAAAAAAAGAAAAGAAAAAGAAAAAAAAACGAACAGCGAAGTGTTTAATGCCTCACTTTTGGGGGGTAATTACTGTCATCAAAGCTTTGCTACAAAGAAGTTGGAATTTCTCTGTTCCTCTGTGCAGCGGAGTGTGGCACGCAGGCGGAATAATTGTCTCATTATCATGATAATCTGATTTGCTGCCACGGAAAGGGCTGCGCGATGGACACGAACGGACTTTTTAATATTGGAAATGGAATGGTTGAAATAAATAAAGACGGAACGAAGTTCTGCTCGGCCGGGGGAGGTGGGGAGGAGGGCGGCAGCTCGGGAGCTGAGGGTTCCGTGCTGCCTTTAGGCTGCCGCAACCGCCCCATGAGCCTCTCCCCACGGCCACAACAAACAGACAAATTGTAAGTAAAATTAATAATAATAATAATAATAATAATAATAACAACAACAACATGTTGTTGGGCGTCTCTTCAAGAGGCAAATATACACTCGACCCCCCCCCCCGCCTTCACATCTACTCCGGTCAAGCCAAATCTGTCCAGCAGCCACGTATTTGCCCTCAGCCTCCCGTGGAAAGAGGCACAGTCCGTGATTTGCAAAGCAGCGCAGAGAAGGGGAAATATCCGCGCGTGCTTTTACTGAGGTTAGGGGCTGAGCTCCGCGAGCAACGCTGCCGGCCTCTGCCCCGAGCAGAACTACTTCGCTGGCTTTGATTTCGTTTGGGTTCGTTCGGCTGCGGCGACGGGAAAAAAATAATATGAGCGGGGAGCTGGGGAAGAGCGGCCGAGAGGCGTCCGCAAACGGTGTCGATTGTTTGGGGTTCTTCGGTGCGATGTGAGCTCTCTGTCCCTGCTCTGACCCCGCTGAGCGGCGCGGGGATCCCCCGGGCTCGGTGCAGATGGTGCCTGAAAGCACGGGGCTGGAAGGGGGGATCCGCTACAGCGCGGCCCTCCCGCAGCTGCAGATGTTGGGGGCCTAAAGCTGCTCCATGTGTTCGACCAAATCACGACCATCGTTTTCTCTTCTGTTCTTATTAGAACGGAAATACTCCGCGACACCGACATTTGTTTTAATTTGGGAAGCGCTCTCCCTGGAGCTGCCGGCGGAACTCGCGGGGATGGATTTGGGGGAACTCGGGGAAGACGGCCGGGGGTTCCGCTCAGGTTCAGCCGAAGGAAGCTGCGGCTTCTCGGGATCTGCTCGGATCCCAGACTTTCGCACCGAACAAAGCCGGCCCGCGCTCCCCTTGTTTCTCGCTGCTTCCCTCCAGATTTAAGAGCCACGACCGCGAACGTCCGCACCGCGTGGATCCCCGCTGTGTCACGCTCTCTCCGCGGCGACGAACCGACCCACGGCACCCCCGAGAGCGAACCGCACAGCGGGACCGAGGGGCAGCGGCTGCGGGGAAAGCCCCGCGGATGGCACCGAGCGGTCGTCCCCCCCCGACCCGCGTCCGCCCGGCGCTACCTGCACTCGGGCTTCGGACAGCCCCAGCCGCTGGCTCAGCTCCTCCCGCATGAAGGCGTCCGGGTAGTGGGTCTCGTCGAAAAGCCTTTCCAGCTCGTTCAGCTGCTCCAGGGTGAAATTTGTCCTGCTTCTCCGCTGCTTGATTTTCGTCTGCCCTTCGTCTTCCATGCCTTTCGCATCCTCCTTGCGCTCTTTCAGCTCCGGGGACACTGGACACGACACAAGCAGTCAGGGGGCCGCCGGGAACCGGGCGGGGAGCCGGGCCGGGAGCGGGGCTGAGCCGTGAGGCCGCGGAAGGCCCTTCCCCGCCGCCGCCGTGCCGTGCCCCGCCGCTCGGCTCCGGGCCCGCCGCGCTCCAACACCCGCAGCCCGGCCCTGCGCACTCCTGCCTCGGAAGTGCAGCAACAGGTCGCGGCCGCGGTCCCGCGTGGGTTTCGTTGCCGTGGCTTCGCCCCGCGAGCAGAAATCGCTCCGCGGAGCCGCCGCGGCGGATGCCGCCCGCACCCCGCGGCCGAACAAAAGGGCGGCGGCGACCCGCGAGGCTCCGCATCCCTCCCGGCTCCGACCGGCAGCTCCGCCGGGGATCCGCGGAGGTGTCCCTCCGCGCTGCGGTACCCGCTAGGCAGCGCCGGGCCCCGGAGCTTTCGTTCTCCGCGCGGCTTTGGCGGGATGCTGGAGAAGCGGCTCGGGCCGCGAGCGAGTTGGAGGCTTCTTGCGATATTTTAATATAAACTTCGAGGCCGGCCGCATATTTCCCGTAATTGGGAAAACATGGCAAGGCGCTCGCTCTGCCCACCGGAGCCTCGCGAGGAGCGCGACGGCCCCGACGGGGAAGGGACGGGGAGGGAGGAAGAAGGGGCTCCCGGTGCCGCCGTTACCGTCGCTCAGCTTCGGGGTGGCCGCGTCGGCGGCTCTCTCGGCGGCGGCGGCGTCGGGTTCCCGCGGCGGGGAGCGTCCGCCACCCGCCCGCCCCGCTGGGCTGCCCGTCTCGTCCCGGCCCGGCTCCGCCGCGGTTCCGCCGGGCTCCCGGGCTCCGCGCAGGGGTCCGCTCTCCAGCACCTCGCGGTAGGTGATGAGCTCCTTCTTCTCCTTCGCTTTGGGATCAAACGATTTGGAGACGAACGCCGTCAGCTCCTCCATGGCCGCGGCTCAGGGCCGCCGCGCTGCCCCGGCTTCGCCGTGCCGCCCCCCCGGGCGGGCATCCACGGGGCGGGGTGCGGCCGGACCGGGCCGAGCCGTGCCGCGACCTCCGAGCCGCTCCGCTCCGAACCGGGCCGTTCCGCCCGACGTGCGGGGCCGGGCTCTCCTCGCCAGCTCCGGGCTCTGATAGCGTCGCGCCGCTGGAAGTGGCACTATTTATACTTTGCAACGCCTGCCCCTTGTTCCCGGCGAATTACCTCCCCTCGGAGCTCTGAATGGACCCCTTCCTTCTCCGCCGCCCGCCCGCCCGCCGCGGGGCAATGCGGCCACAGCGCTCCGCCGCCCGCCCGCCCCGCGCTGCGCCCTAATTTAATTTAATTAAGCGGCTGCTCCACGCGAGGTCCCGGGCGGGCGATGCGCGGAGCCGGGGCTGCAGGGGAGGGGCCGGGGGGGTGCGCAGCCTCCGCACCCGCGCTCCGCCCGCATCGCGCCTTGCGGGGCGGGGGCACGGAAAGTTCCTCCGTGGGCTCCCGTGGTCTCGGGGATGGTGTAACGAGGGGGTAGCGGGCAGAGGAGGGTGGAGGCGTGGGATTAGGGCGAGTGACGCCGCTTGCGGCTAGCATTGTCGGGGCTTTGTTGGCTAAATCCCGTGAAAGCGGCACTTTTTTGTTGACACCTTCGGTGGGATGCCAATAAATTATTCAAAATTGTTGAACTCGCGCCCGCGTATCGATTCCTCCTTTGACCTCCACGGGGATGACTTTAAAGAGAGGGAGCACCGATTGCCCGTCGGGGGTCCTTTTGCCCCTGTTCACCTCTAAGCTTGCGTTTCCCACTGGGTGTTGGGTTGTTTGTTTCTTTTTCTCTCCCCCCCCCCTCTCCCCCCTCAGGAAAGCGGTGTGTTTCGCTTCATACTCGTGCAAAATTCGTTATGGGACTGGAATCCCGCGTGGAAATTCGCGGGTGGGAGAGTTTTGCTCCGTTGGGAGACCATTGGGAGACCACAGCTGCGGTGTCTGGTTGCCCTAGAGCCCCACAGGGCCCACATGGCCGCGCGTGGGGCTCTGGGGCACCCAGGCACCAGCCAAAGCTCCCCGATCCCCACTCGTGTCCCGCACCCCGCGCTGCGCATCCATTCGCTCGGCGCTCCGCAGCACTGCCTGGCGCCATCGATGCGCTCGGCGCTCTCTCGCCTCTGCCTGCCCACCTCCCTCCGGGAAGCATCTGCGCTCAAAACCTCGGCCCTGAGGCCTCGACTCGGCTGTTGGAGGCTGAGGTAAAGCTGGGGGGAGGACGGGTGGGCTCTTTATGGGGGGGAGTGGGAGGGGGAAGAGGTTCCGGTGGCTGAAGGGTCTCGGGGTACGGGGAGTGGGTGGGGGTAGGCCTCAGGCCTGCAGTTAGGCCTCAGGCCTGCCGTTGCCATGGCGACGTTGCGGCCTGGCCTGGGGCAGGGCCTTGGGGGTGAGGTTGGGCCTTGGGGCCTGGGTCCTTCCCCCGCAGAGCGGCCAGAGTGTTGTTTTGTTTTGTTTTGTTTTGCTTTCTTCTTCTTGCGTTTAGCGTGAACATCTCGAGGTTTGAAGCTGAATTCTCTTGTTTGCGGTTCGGTTGTTTTATCTCGGTGTTTTCAGCTGGAGGAGCTGGTTGTGCTGTCTCTCCCTATAGGTGTGAGTTGGATGTTTCTCCTTTAGCAATTTGGAGGCTTGGCTAAGGGAAGGAACCCACTGGATAAGTACTTACAAATACACACTGTTCTGTAAGACCTATCTAATGCTTACTTGCTGTACAGAGCCTGTTTTGATAGGGGTTTGGACTCAGTGATCACTCAGGGGGTGCTGATACACTGGAACGCAAACACTATTCCAATAGATGTGTTTTAAATGTAACTTTTCTCGTAGAGGAGGGAAGCTGGAAGAATGAGAGAGGGAGAGCTGCTGCTGTGCTTTGGCAGCTGGTGCTGGGCTGCAGACTCTGCCTGCTGCTGTGCTTGAAGTGAGGACAAGTGCTGCCATCCTTTCTGCCCCACGCTGCTCACTGATTCTAGAAAAATGGAACAGTTTCCCAGCCTGGAACAGGTTGCCCAAGGAGGCTGTGGATGCCCCATGCCTGGAGGCATTCAAGGCCAGGCTGGATGTGGCTCTGGGCAGCCTGGTCTGCTGGTTGGTGACCCTGCACATAGCAGGGGGCTGAAACTGTATGATCATTGTTGTCCTCTTCAACCCAGGCCATTCTATGATCTCTAGAGGTCCCTTCCAGTCCTTACAATTCTGTGATTCTGTAAGAACAGGTCACCTCATTGTCACTTCTGATCCAATCTTTTTCTTTGCTGAGAGCATTTCTTTCTGAACTGCAGAGCAGGAAGAGTTTCTGCATAACTGCAGGCTTGGTGGTGGGAGGCACAGATAATCCTTCAACCACACACATGTGCATGCTGTCAGATTGAGTTCTGTCTGTTTGCAATTTCCCTTTCTGTGGGAGCAGCACTGCTGTTAGTAACACTGTGAATCCTACTTGTTCGAATCGTGTTTGTTAAGTAACATAGAATAAGTTTTGCTTCAGTTAGCATTGTTTCCTGGCTGGAGCCCATCCCTGAATTGTTCATTCTCTCTAAGGAAATCACAGAAACACAGAATTCCAGGGTTGGAAGGGACTTAAGGATCATGAATATCCACCTGCCTGCCACATGCAGGGCCACCAACCTCCACATTTCATACCAGACCAGGCTGCCCAGGGCCCCATCCAACCTGGCCTGACCTCTAAGGACTGGGCATCCACAAGCTCTCTGGGCAGCTGTTCCAGCACCTCACCACTCTCATAGTAAAGAACTTAATGTGCATACATTTATAAAGCTGCTCTGTAAACAATGCAAATGGCTACTGCAAGTCAGTTACAAATGAAGTTTCTTAGTAATTAAGATTTTCTTTACGTTTTTATATGCTGGTTACTTAGCTGCTTAGTAGCACTGTTTGTAGCTTTAACAAAAGTAAGTAGTTGCTTTGGAATTTTTGTTGTTGGCGTTTCTCTTGGCAGATGTGTTTGAAAGCAGGTGCTTTGTTTTTGTTTCAACCAAATTGTTGCAGCATGAGTTCTCAAAAAGTCTAAAATAAAATAAGTGTTAAAAAACCAAAACACCAAAAACCCTAAACCTGCCTGTTAGTTGCTGTAATGTGCCTTTGCTTCAGAACAGCAATTTCAAATGCATTGGATCCAACAGTAAGTCATCCTACTGATAAGGTTAGGGCAGAGTGACGTAGAAATAGGAGCCTCACTGATGGCCAGGAGTCTCTTTCTCCCCAAATGCCTGGTAAGTAACCTGGCTTGTCAGTCTCACCATCTATCTGCTGTCAATGCTTGGTAATGTACCTCTTCCTCCTCGTACTACTTTGTGGTTGAGATAAAAGGCTGCTGCTGCTTCATGTGCCTTGCCAGACACCTAGAGCTGCATCTCTCACTGTCTGCACGTAAATAGGAATTAGTAATATATCTTCAATTGCAAATACCTATGGCTTAGCACTTCCTTGTGAGACCTACATGGGGAGGCACCTCAAAAATGAGATCAGGCCCCGCAGCTGTTAGAGGAACTCTTACACCACTCTTTTTACTGTGGTGGATCTACAGACTGTGTGTGGAAAAAGATGGGTAGAAAAAACTTAGGAGCTTCAACATACAGTTCTTCTGTGATCTGTAGGTACTGTCAGCCAGTCCTGCTTGTGGAGCTGGTGTGTGGACCACTGACCCAGCAGAACAACTCTTAACTCCTCCATCTACCAGGCTTTGGGTGTCAGTCAGTGCTAGCAGTTCTTTCTGATGGGTCTGTGCTGGAGTATGGAGGGAGGAGGCAGCGGTCATGGAAGATACCAGACTGGTGTAGTAGGTCTTAGTGTTTGAAAGCAGTTGATTGTTATGTTTGTAAGAGGCACCTTCACGTGACAGTGTATGTGATGTGCTGAAGGAGTGGTCCAAAAACCCTGGTGGCAGATGAGCCTGTCTGACAGGCACTGTGTACTTCTGAAGTATCCCTGTAGCTGGCAGCTACAGATTCTTGGCTGCTCACGTTGTTCTGGGATCAGGTCTGCTTCTGGTGACTTCTCTTCCAGTGGGGTCTCCAGGACATGCAGAACATCAGTCACCCACCTGCCTTCGTCCACTCAACCGCTGCAAACCCAGAGCTTCCTGGAGCTCCTGAGGTGCTTCTGTGTGTTGCAGTAGGGCTTGCCCTGAAGGGCTGTGGCACACAACTTTTCTATGGTCCTGAAGACATAAAATTGAGGTTTACGCAGTGTGTTTCACTAGACTGGTATGCTGCTTAATCCAGTTATGTGCCCAAATTGGGGGAAAGGCTGTGGTTAAAAAAGGAAGTTAAACAACAGGCAAAATATATGTTGAAGTGTAATGTTCTGGCTCATAATGATATCCACATCAAGTGGTAAATATCTTGGCAGAAATGTCTTCTGTACTCTGTGTTTCTCAGGTCTCTTCCATTAATCTTGCTGTCATGAGCTGTGGTCTGTGAGCTCTTAGTTTAAAACCTGAGCATTGGAGTTTCATCCTTCTGAGCAGTTCTGCTTATTTAGAGTTTGAGATTCAGCTTCATCTTCATTTGAAGGTTGTTCTATCAGTGGATATTTGAAGAGCTTTGTTTTACCATATAATAACTGTTGGTACCTTGGGTATCTGCAAGTCTTTGAGCTGGGGGGGGTGGAGGAAGGTGGAGAAAGGTGGAGAATGGAGGAAATAACTGCACAAGGCAGTACGTTGATAGAGATTGTCACTCCTCTATGGAACTGCAAATTGAAGTCTGGAACTGCAATTTTTGCTCAGTTTTTGACCTAGCATAATTGAGGCTTTTATTTGCTGTAAACATTTGGTGTGTTTAAACAAGTACTTAACAGCGAGTTTCTCCTTTGTTTTGTTGTCAGTTCTGACCCTGGAGATGAGGGTCTGCTGAGAGGTGGCAGAAGGTGTGAGGAAGGGCAAAAGCAGGAAAGGAACCAGCTCAGCTT